CCTCGTGTACGTCGACGACTTGGTCTTCGCCACAGCTGACACTGCTGGACTCGCCCACGTGAAGTCCGAGCTGTAGAAGAGACACACGTGCACAGACCTGGGTGAACTGCGCAGCTACCTTGGCTTGCAGATCACCCGGGACAGAGCACGCCGCACCATTACCCTGACTCAGTCACACATGGTGCAGCAGGTCCTTCAGCGCTTCGGCTTCACGTACTCCTCGCCTCAGGCCACTCCTCTGCCTACTCGCCACTCGCTCTCAGCTCTGCCTTCGGATGAGTCCGTAGAGTCGAGTGGCCCGTACCCAGAGCTTGTTGGCTGCCTCATGTACCTGATGACCTGCACACGACCTGGCCTTGCATACCCTCTTAGCATTCTTGCACGCTATGTTGCTCCTGGGAGACACAGACCGGAGCACATGGCTGCAGCGAAGAGGGTGTTGCGCTACTTGTGCAGTACGTCGGGCATGGGGCTTGTGCTTGGAGGGCAGAGTCCAGTGGTCCTCACTGGGCACGCAGACGCTTCTTGGGCTGACGACCAGGCTACGCAGCGGTCGTCACAGGGTTACACCTTCAGCCTTGGTTCCGGCTCTGTTTCGTGGCGGGCTACCCGCTCGTCTTCTGTTCTTGGCTCCAGTTGTGAGGCTGAGATCTACGCCGGGGCCATGGCTGCACAGGAGCTTCGCTGGCTCACCTACCTGCTCACTGACCTCGGAGAGCCGCCTCGTTCTCCTCCAGTGCTATACGTAGACAACAAGGCCATGCTGGCCTTGTGTCGAGAGCAGAGACTGGAGCACAGAACGAAGCACATTGCTCTCCGCTACTTCCTTGCTCGTGAGCTACAGCAGCGTGGTCAGCTACGGCTTGCGTACGTGGCCTCTGAGGCCAACACTGCTGATATCTTCACCAAGGCACTTCCGCCTTGTGATCATCAGCGCTTCTGTACTCAGCTGGGTCTTGTGCCTACCTTGCCTCACTTGCTCACCCCTTGACCTTGCTTGTACTGTTGCATATATATATATATATATATACACCTGCTCTTGCTTGTCTAGCCTTATATATATATGCAATCCTGCATGTGAACTGGCCTTGTGGCCTTGAACTTGTGCTCGGAATGTGTGGTGACTTTGTGATCCACCCTGAGCTTGTTCTGCTTTGCTTGACTGGTCTTGTGACCCCTTGTTCTCCCCCACTTTGCCTATGGGGGTGTGTCAGATTTATATGACATAGCTACTGTAGGCTATAGTGGGGTAGCACATATGGGGTACAGTTTTCTAGGTTTTGCTTTTGTACCCAACTTTCCTTTAGTCACACCATTCCTCGTTTCTTCTCAGAAGCTTCAATACTACATAAGCGTTTTAAATCACTTGTTTCCAACAGTTGGTACGTTGCGGACGTTCGGATGTGTCAAGCCATCGTGCGAAGGCAGGAAAAATACACGACGAAGAAAATCTGCGGGGGATAATTTTCCCAGGGAAAGAATCCCCAGGAAGGGAACCCCCTCTTTCCTTCCCCCATCTCCCCCCTCTTCCCCCCCCCCCCCCCTCTCTAAAAACGTGCCAGGGCAAGCCTCGACATTCAACCTGACGCTACAAGGAAAAACACTACAGCCATCCTGAATTTCAAGGGCATATCGTTTACAACATCCTGAGATTACAGGGTAAAAATTAACACCATTCTGAAATTACAGGGCAAAATCAAAACTGCATCCTGAAATCAGTGTAATCAGGATGTTTTGCTCTGATATCGTGGGGCCTGAGAGTGAATGTAAAATGACAGAGATAATAAAATCAATGCATACATCGTGTTATATAGCAAATACAAAGGAATGCGAAACGACCTAGACTAGCCATGTACTCCAAGGGGTACATTCCCTTAATGCAGCGAATTCAAACCGTGCGGCGCCGGAACCCGTTTCAAACATTATCCCGCCTTTTTCACTTCAATTGTTTTTTATCTGACGGTTGCTGGTGTCGATTCGACTCTACTCCTCAACTTCGTACTCGGTAGAGTCTGCTCCTTCAGCGTACAGAAATGCCTTCTCATAAAAGTTCATATCTCAACACTAAGCAACCCAAAAAAATAGATTATATGGTTATAGGCTGCCGTAAGTATATTTCTTGATAGTGTATTCTCGGATCAGACGTTTTGGGCTTCGTTGAAGCTCCCAGCAAGCAGCAGCACAGCTGTGTATGCTTCACCCTCGATCATCATAGTTGCCCTCCCACGATATCAGCTACTCGGACATCCTATCTAGCTCTTTTGCTCACCTGAACCTCTCAACGCTCGAATCTTCGCAACGGGTTAGTCTCCTTGCACCCTTCACCAAGACGTAGTGCACCAGTATTGTTCAATATGGAAACGCTGGCTGAAGTGTTGCGTTCTTATAGATCCTGTCGTGTCTTTCTCTTCTCCATGTGTTTTCTCGCTTTGAAAGATTTTGAAACGGAAATGTATTTCTTCCTGCAATTGTCGCCCAACTTGCTATTTTGTTGCTTGGATCTGGCAGGTGAGGACTCGAGGACGTCATTGACAGAGTAAGCGTCCTCTGCCTTGGCGCTCTGCATACGTCGTTCATGCTCGTTCAGTCTGCGTTGTTTTCCCCTGTTGCGGTCGATGCTGTTTCTCCCGCTTCCGCATGCTCACAACGTCTCTGTTTCATCCACCACGCGCGGCTGCTTGCAGGGAGGCAGTCGTTTAACATCTGCCGAGGACAATGTCGGACGGGTACGCTCCCTGTCGCCTCTTCTTATCTCTATCTTCACTCCTTTCTCTCATGTGTGCACGTACCTGTCGCCTCACCGCTCTTTGCTATCGTATCTCTCCACACCCGTAACCAACTTCCCCCTCCCTCTCCCCCACCTGCCCCCTCCGCCGTGCCCCCGCAGAGATGAGCCCGTGGCGATCGAGGCGGAGGCTCCCGCTGTGGAGGCGGCCGTTGAGGCCCCCGCCGAGGCGATGGACACGATGACGGCGCTGCAGCGCGTGCTGAAGAAGGCGCTGGCGCACGACGGGCTGGCGCGCGGGCTGCACGAGTCCGCCAAGGCGCTGGAGAAGAGCAGCGCGCAGCTGTGCGTGCTGGCGCAGGACTGCGACCAGGAGGACTACAAGAAGCTCGTCCAGGCGCTCTGCCACGAACACAACATCAACCTCATCCAGGTGCGCTCTGCCACGAATACAATATCAACCTCATCCAGGTGGGTCCCCGTGCCGCGTACAACATCCAATTTCTCGCCGCTGCTGCAGCAGCTCCAATCACCGAAGAGGGCTTCTCCGTCGTGCGTTGTCAGGTGGCTAGCCATCGGCGGGCTTTGGCTCAAGGTCAAGAGGGCGAGGTGAAGGGGCAAGTTAGTGGCAGCGAAGCTTTGTTTTTTAGTAGCAAGGGGGGTCTGCGGCCGCAGACAGTTAGCAAATAGTCAGCAGACAGTCAGAACACGGCCAGCAGTTAGTCAGCAGATAGTCAGAACACGGCCAGCACTTAGTCAGCAGATAGTCAGAACACAGCCAGCAGACAGTCAGAACACGGCCAGCAGTTAGTCGCGAGACAGTCATAACACGGTCAGCAGTTAGTCAGCAGACAGACAACAGCTGGTTAGCAGGCGGTTAGCAGACAGTGAGCTCTGCGTCGGATCTGCGTGCACTCTAGCTTAAGGGCACCGCGCTGGGGGCAGGCTAGCAGGTGCGGGCTGACTGCTGCCATTGCCGCCTTGTGGTTCACGCAGTCTGCAGATTGTGCAGTTGCAGTGGCCCCTCTGCTCCACCATGGGCTGGTCATGTAAAGCGGTCTCGTGAGGCGGGGTTCTGAGTTGTGCGGCGGTGCATGCCTGTGCTTGGGTGCGTGGCAGGTGCCGAGCGCCAAGACGCTGGGCGAGTGGGCGGGGCTGTGCAAGCTGGACTCGGAGGGCAAGGCGCGCAAGGTCGTCGGCTGCGCCTGCGTCGTCGTCAAGGTCAGCGGGGGGGCCGAGGGGAAGACGGGGGATAGGGGGGTTGTTACCTTTCCAGAGTGGCTGCTGCGCATGGGGGTTTGTGGTGCGCATGGGGTTTGTGGTGCGCATGGGGATGGTGCGCATGGGGTTTGTGGTGCGCATGGGGCTTTTGGTGCGCATGGGGGTTTTGGTGCGCATGGGGTGTGGTGCGCATGGGGGTTTTGGTGCGCATGGGGGTTTTGGTGCGCATGGGGTTTGTGGTGCGCATGGGGTTTGTGGTGCGCATGGGGTTTGTGATGCGCATGGGGGTTTTGGTGCGCATGGGGTTTATGGTGCGCATGGGGGTTTGTGGTGCGCATGGGGTTTGTGGTGCGCATGGGGTTTGTGGTGCGCATGGGGTTTGTGATGCGCATGGGGGTTTTGGTGTGCGTGGAAGAATGCTGGTTGGTTATGGGCGTAACATGTCGCACATTCGACCGTTTAGATCTGCTGTATGTCATTATAGGTTTGGTGGGGCAATGGCGTAGCTGAGTGTCCATGAGGTTAATTTCTTGGTGAAGCGAGGGTACCCACTATCCAGAGCTCGCTTGTGCGACAGGATCTGAAAATGTCTGTGGTTGTGTGTGTGCGTGTGTCGGTGGGCGTGGCAGGACTATGGCGAGGAGACGGAGGCACTGAACGTGCTCAACGAGTACCTCAAGTCCAAGTAGGCTGCTGCTGCCCCCATGCCCACGCCCAGGGGCAGATGCACCTTGTGGCGCTGTAGCGTTTCTGTGTTGCCTCTAGTGAAGCTTCTCAGCCGCTCATGAACCACTGCCCAGTTGTTTTGGTTGCCTGTGCCCTGTCATGTAAATTTCATTAATTACTTGAAAGGGCAAGATTGACCCACGAGTGAGCAAGCCATTGGGACAAGTATGACGTTACATTGGCTCTGATTTGCTATAGAATGACAGCAGCCGTACACTAGCATCCAGCATGATTTTGAAGTACATGGGTATATACATATAGTGCAACACCCACACTATCCTACTCTTTATACACGCTATCAAAAATGGTATTTTGTGTTGATCCTAGCCTAATCCTTGTCAACTATTGTGGCCTCCACGTCCACCACTCTGTCTGTCCCTGTGGCCCTCCATCCCCGCTTGTCTTGAGATTGTGACCCTGTGGCATGGCACACACTAACATTAGCAACCAAATCATGGCAGGTGTAGTGGACAAGGCACAACTGTTAAGGTGACAATGTGAATGCACAATGTAATGTGCCAGCCTTACTTGATTGGGAATTGAAGCCACGGCTGCTGCTGTCTGCTTGCTGAAATCTGCCATCTTCATCTGAGAACAACAGAAAGGTTGAATTAGCACATGGCATGCTGGCAACTTGTAAGGTAAAGATGGGAGAGAGAGTGCACCAGTGCTGCGGAGCAAGCATGGGTGATCCAAGCCAGCAAGTGGTGGGAGGAGTCAGTGAGCGGACGGAAGGGCATGAGAGGCAGGAGAGGAGAGGGTGGGGATGGAGGGACTGACACTTCATGGAGCGCAGGCAGGACGGGCACACCGGTGATCCATGCGCCACCGCATTCCTTCTCATGTTGGGGGGGCAACCGATACCGTGCAGCCCGCACACACAATCACACACACACACACATGAACAGTGCAGACGCGAGTGAGGGGCGCTGTTCCAAAGCAGCGCCATGGCAGGAGGGGAATCTGGGGAAAGAGGTGGGCGCAGGCAGTTACTGGTGAAGGTTGAATGCGGACACAAAAGACCATGTGACGAGTCAACTAGTGAAGGTTGAATGCGGACACAAAAGACCATGTGACGAGTCAACTAGTGAGTGTGCAGGCGGTGCTGCTATTTAGCGCTCTCCCTGACCACCTTCCATTGCGCTCTGCACCCGCACCCCCTTCAGCCTGCTCGCAACATTGATGGCGTGGGGCGTGCCCCCAGGGCTCACCTGTCGAACGTGAACTGGTGGTCGCACCACGGGCACTGCTCACACGCGTGGGGGGGCACCGCACAGCGCAATGGGGTGGGAGGCGGTGAGAGGTCACGCGAATTCGCATGCGAATTTCGACCAAAACGTTTGAAAAACAAAGAACTTTGTTTCTGGAAGATCCGAAACATTATTATGGTGTCGCACGTTTGCAAAGCTTCGAAGGAAAACGAAGCTCCCAATGAACCAAGCGGGAAGCGGGACGGGAAGGGAAAACGGGGGGGGGAAGGGGAAGCATGAGGAGACGAGGAAGTGGGAGGGGAAGGAGAAGAGGGAGGGGAAGGGGAAGCGGGAGGGGAGGCGCGGGCGGGTACATTGGCGACGGCGAGCGAGGAGGTGAGCTTGCCGACGATCCACGTGGCCGTGGTGAGCGCCACGTCCAACAGGTAGAACACGAACTGCCAAGCAAGCACACAGGCACGCGGGGGAACGGGGGGTGGGGGGGTGATGAGGGCGGATGGGGGAGGGACAAGGACAGATTTGAGAGGGAGGAGAAGGAAGGCGGAGGTTGCAGCGGAGGGGCGGATGAGGGGCGAAACAAGAAAGCGACTGGCTGCGAGGCGCAGACGGAAGAGACGCATGCGATTGATGCGAGACACGGGACGGACGCGAGAATGAGAGCCCAACGCTGCAGCGCCGCTACGTCCGGCGCGCGGCGCGACGCACCCAGAGCTGCGCGACGCCCCCGAGCGCGCCGTCGCCCAGCCACCCCAGATGGCCCTCCGTCGCGAACTTGAGCCACGTCACCGCCGCCAGTACGGCGCCGCCAATCAGCAGCCGCTGCGCGTCGCCCACGCCCGCCCGCGCGCCCCCTTCTCCCGCGCCCATCCCCATCCACGCGGGACCTGCTCCCCCCGACGCTGATTTGCCCGCATCCCGCCTGCCCCTCTCCTCTCCCTCCTCCCCCTGCCACATGCTCCCCTCTGCGCGCGCTTGCGCGTGACTGCGGTCATCCCGCGCGCGCGAGGATCGGCGGCCGAAGCCGTTGAAGGAGGCGCGGCAGCTGCGGGGAGGGGAGCGCGCATGGAGAGAGGTTCAGGGCTTAGCGACGGCAGCACGTGATCGGGCACGGGAAGGTGACAACAGGGAGCGAGGACGGACGGACTGGGAGGAGGCGGGGAGAGAGGCATGGCGACGGCGGCGACGAGACCGGCAATGTGGCCCGCGCGTGGGTGGTACGCCCGGTGAGAGTGGCACTTGGCAGGGGGAGCAAGCAACGAGCGCGAGCAACGCACCTTATCGACTCGCGCGCTTTGGGCGCCGATAGGCCCGCGCGACCAGCGGATTGAAGCAGCGGGTGGCGGGGGAGGAGCGCGCTTGACGGCACACGAGGATCACCTGCGCACCGCCGTTGCCCGCCTCGCGGAAGCAGCGGCAGGCGAGCGAAATGCGAGCCGCGAACGAGAACGTCCATCCGCAAGCTGCCGGCGGCGAGTCTGGTGGACGTCATGGCGCGACGCGACGAGGGGCGAGGCGGGTGAGAGGCGAAGTGAAGGAGCTTTGGGGAGGCGAGAAGGAGGTGACGACAGATGTTGTACTGAGCCGAAATGGAATAACATCGAAGACTGGTTGGGATGGGAAGAGCTGCGTGCTACAGAGATGGGCTGATCGGGCTGGGCGGGAGCACGTCCCGCAGATGTGGAAGGGCAGCACGGTGGAATACGAGGGAAGGCGACCATGACGTGGTCCCACGCAGATCTTCGCTGGCTGAGCGGGAAACTGGCATGCTCTGGAATATCGCCTGTACGCGCATTTGAGAAGTTTGTTTCTAGTCGTATAACGTTTCAAGCTGTAATGGCTACACGTGGAAGGAGCGAAATCTCTTACCATACGTGCTCCAGATTTGAATGCATTCACTGCTGCAGTAAGGGCTCACATGTGGTACCGTACATATAATGAAGGGATGGATATACATCTGCAAACGCGTTTTTTGTTTCCTGTCATATTCAGATCAAGCACCATTTTCTGCGTAGGGAACGTAAATGGTCGAATATCCAACAAATATGTACTCCCAGTGCAGATGTGGTGCACCGTGCACTAGCAATAAGCGCCACACTACTCATTGACATGAACACACCAGCATGGTTGTCTTGCCTTGCCTGGATAGACGCCTCACGTGCGAGAGAGCACTCCCTTGGAACTAAGGGGTGGTGAAAGATGCAAGGGGTGGCAGAGATGGAGGGTGGAGGAGAAGCAGCATGTGAGTGAAGGGGCATCTCAACAGAGCCATGGTACCGCGCCTGAGCTGCTGCTATTGCCCACGTGAGCTTGGGTGGATAGGAATCATTGCCAGTAAAACAAATCAGCTCTTCACAGTTGACTATTCAGCTGAGCAAACGAGGCTTTAACTTAGCACAGCTAGGCACAACTACAGTTGCACCTGCGCACAACAGGGCTTTCACACGATGAAAGAGCTGACGAGTCACCTGGGCAGGGCTGGTAATTCACCTGGGCACGGAGTGTGCGCGGCGCGGGTCGATCTCTGTGGCCTGTCGCAGCGCCCTGGCAAAGGCCTTGAAGGTGGCCTCTATGATGTGGTGTGTGTTGCTGCCCGCTAGCTGTGCCATGCACCACCGCGGGGAGGGAAAAGACAGGTGGAGGCGATAATGTGCGCAAGGATATGAGGCAGAGGGCACAGCAGGGTTGAGCGATAGGGCAGAGCGCAGCATGACATGAATGGTGCAGGAAGCACATGGTCATCACACCACATGTGTGGGTTCTTAGCAGTCACCCTGAAGGGAATCATCTAAAGGAAGCACCTGAACGGGCACCTGAACATGCACCTGAACAGGTGAAGGGCGTCACCTGGCGGATGTGCAGTGTCATGCCGCTGGTGTTGACGAGCGACTGGAAGAAATGCTCCACCAACTGGTGTTGCTCGCTCCCACCACAGCCGCAGGGGGGGGGGCACCAAAGGGGGAGGATTGTAAGGATGGAGGGCTTGCAAGAGGGGAGTGGTGAAATGAGGATGCAGGTGGGCAGAGTAGGAAGGGAAGTGGGAAACAAGGGCAGAAGCAGGCGCTGAGTGCAGACGGGGAGGCTTGGAACGTGGAGAAAGAGAGTGGAGTGGGGGGCGAGGGCAGTGGAGGGCGGCACCTGGGTGTCGTAGGTGCCAACTCTCTCTGTGGGCATGGTGACGTCAAAGGAGAGATGCGGGCGCCCCGACAGGTCCTGATGGGGAAAGCATCGAGGGGGTGTTCCACGCATGGAACAAATCAGATGTGAATACCAAGGGTCGACAAAGCATAAGGGCGGAAGAGTATGTGGAAGGGTATGATAAACTCTCACACACTCACATGCAGCACCACGTGGATGAGCGCCTACCAGCACCACGTGGATGAGCGCCTCGTCCAGCGGCGCACAGAAGTCCCCAAAGCGCCGTATGCCCTTCCTATCTCCCAGCGCCGCCGCCAACGCCTGCCCGGGGTGAAGAGAGCGACGGGCGGAGCACGAGGTCAGGAGGAGGGTGATGAAAGGAGAGCAAGCTAGGTCTATGGTGGTGTGCACGGAACCGCGGTGTGGTGCTGCTGTGGCGCCCACACAAGCAGCTTATGGTCAGTCATCCATCCTCAAAAGAGCCTCCGGCCTAGTGGCTGGCAGGTCATGCCATGCCACGGCATACCATAACAGGGCATGGCACGGCATGGCACGGCAATGGCATGCTTGGCATGGCATGGGAATTGCATGGCATGACACGGCAGTGGCACGGCACGGCACAGCACGTGATGGAGTGGGGTGGCAGAGGGGCACTGACGGAGCCGAGGGCGAGGCCGATGTCTTCATTGGTGTGGTGGTCGTCGATGTGCACATCGCCCTCCGCCCTCACACTCACGTCCAACAAACCGTGTGACGCCAGCTGCTGCTGGGTGGGCAGGGGGGGAAGGGACGCCATGGGGCAGGGCAGTGTGGTGAGCGGTGCACGTGGCATTGTAGGGTGGGAGGGAGGAGTGCCCAGGCGGGGGGGGGGGGGGGAGGGGGGGGGAAGAGTTGGGAGAAGGAAATGGATGTGATGGGGTGCGGACACATGTATAGGCGGGTCAAATGCTCGCCCAGTGCTCAGTGCCTCACTCACGTGCACCACAAGCCCTTCATCACAAGGCCCCCACGAGCATCACGGGTGACTGACTGACGTCCATCATGTGGTCGAGGAAGGGGATGCCCGTGGCGGAGCAGCACCGCCCCTCACCGTCGATGGCGATCGTCACCTCCACGTCCGTCTCCTTCGTCCTCCGTGCCACCCGCGCCACTCGCTGCCCTGCTCCCGTGCTCCCATGCACATATAGTGGGGCCGATGGAAGCGGAATCAACTCATGGTAAGGGCAGGGAGGCACAGGAGCGACGAACGTGTGGAGCAGGGAGGCTGATCGTGCTACCAGACAAGTGCGTGCGGCCACGTGTGCGCCACCCTCCGCTGCCCGAGGCAGCACCCGACCCATCCGACGCCCCTTGCCGCGCAGCAATCACTCACCGTCGCTCGCCACGGGTGCCGCCCCGGCAGATCCGTCGTTCCCGGCGGCAGCTGTGGCGTCCGCCTCTGCCATGGCGCGCGCCACGTGCCTCCCGCCTCGTGAGCCTGCCCGCTGCACGAATGTGGCGGTGCGTCGCGACGAGAAGAGCGGGCAGAACGGCGCAACGTCGGAGTCCGCCGCGGCTGACGGCGTGGGTGACGCGGTGAGGGTGAGTGCGCACGGCGAAGCGGCGGAGGCGAGGAACGGGTGCGCCGCGCGGAGCGCAGCGGCGGCCGACAGAAGTTCGGCCGCGCTATGGTGGCGCGACGTGGCTCGAGACGCGAGGGGGGTCGACGGGAGGCGCGCCAAAAGAGCCATGAACGAGTGATGGGAAGGCAGCGGCCTGCAGGATCAGTAGGGGGACGAGATGTGTGGATGGCTGGAAAGTTGTGCACGCATTCGCAAACCTAATGACTAAAGGCAAGAGTTACCCCTTGGCGCGAGAATTGCAATGGAGCTTGACTGCCTGCGAATCTTGAAATTGTGTTACGCGTGTGCTTGAGCGAGCAAACGAGGTATACGGGCGAAGGATATAACATCTAGATCAAAACATTTGTAAGGAATTTTCCCGAATTCCTTATCGGGGTTGACTGCTTCGCGTACATCCCCGATTTTCGGACTCTGCACGTTTGGCCGACATCAACAATGCCGAGCCTCCTCGCGTCGCCTTCGGCATTTCCTCTTGTCAAACATATGTTTATATGTTGCTATTTAGATAGGCTTTAGTGGGGTACTCACTGTGGGGTTCAACCCTTTAGGTTTCATTCTTGTACCAAAACCTCTCGACATTCAATACAACTTTTGCCTAGGATTCTAACATGGCATCTAGAGCATAGGTCCTTAGGACCTAGGATTAGGGCCCACCGTACCTGCCTGCCTCGTCTAGTGCCCGTGCGCGCCTCGGCTGCCCGCGCGCGCCTCGGCTGCCCGCGCGCGCCTCGGGCGGTCCTTTTTTTTTTTTTCCCACGTGCGCCGCTTCAGCAGCCCGCGCAGCCCGTTTCGGCCCCGCCTGTGCGCCCCTTAAGCCGCCCGCGCGCAACCTGGTTAGGCCACGCCAGCGCGGCCCGTCGCCCAGCGCAGCCCGCAGCTTAGCGACCAGCCCGCAGCCGCGCACGTGCGGCCCGTCGCCCAGCGCAGCCCGCAGCCGCACGCAGATTGCAGCCGCGCACGCTGCCTGTCGCCACGCACAGCCCGCAGCTGCAAGCAGCCCGCAGCCCGCGCAGCCCGTCGCCGCACGCAGCCTGCGGCCGCGCGCGCTGCCAGTAGCCACGCGCAGCCTGCAGCCTCCCGCAGCAAGCCGCCACACGCAGCCAGCAGCCTAACGCAGCCCTCAGGCCGCTCCTGCCTGCTGCCTGCTGCCTGCTGCCGCCTACCTGCTGCTTGCTGCCTGCTGCCGCCTGCCTGCTGCCTGCCTGCTGCCGCCTGCCTGCTTGCTGCCTGCTGCCGCCTGCCTGCCGCCTGCCTGCTGCCTGCCTGCTGCCTGCCTGCTGCTTGCTGCCTGCTGCCGCCTGCCTGCTTGCTGCCTGCTGCTGCCTGCCTGCCGCCTGCCTGCTGCCTGCCTGCTGTCGCCTGCCTGCTGCTTGCTGCCCCTGCCTCCTGCCTCTGCCTCCTGCCTCCTACCTGGTGCCTACTGCCTCTTGTCTGCTGCCTGCTGCCTCTGCCTGCTGCCTGCTGCCTCCTGCCTTAAGCCAATATGGCGACGCCTAACGTTCTAGCGTTCGAGCCTGGCGGTCGTCCCATCGAGTTCGCTGTGTGGTTAAACGATCTCCAGCTGTTCCTTCTGACTGATGCCAAAGAGGGCGTTTCCCTGTTTGATTACGTCTCTGGCACTGCCGTTACTCCTGCTGCTGATGCTCCTGCTCTAGAACGCTCCCAGTGGCAGACTCGTGATGCTGCTGCACGCCTAGCTATTAGGAACCACCTGCCGATTACTGAGCGAGCGCATTTCAGCCAGCACAGAACTGCTAAGACATTGTACGACGCTGTAGTTGCGCGCTACTCCTCCCCGGCCACTGCAGCCATAGGTCGACTCATGCTACCGTACCTGTTCCCCGATCTTTCCTCGTTCACCACTGCTGAGGACCTAGTTTCTCACCTGCGCGCTACTGACTCTCGCTTTCGTGCCGCCCTTTCAGCCGAGTTCTGCGCCGCAACCCCCCCCCCCCCCCCCCCCCCCCCCCCCCCCCCCCCCCCCCCCCCCCCCCCCCCCGATGTACTTCACTCTCTATTTCCTCGTCACCCGCCTCCCTGACACTCTTAGCTCTGTCAGGGACCACTTCCTAGCGCTAGACCCCACCACTCTCACTGTCGACGACTTCGAGAAGCACCTCCTCGTAGCAGAGAAGATTATCCTCGCTGTAGGTGCTGCTCGTGGCACTCCTCGCTCTCCCCTCTTTGAGGGGTGCTCCCCCTCCCCTCTCACCCCCTCCTACGCCTCCGCAGCTGCTGCTCACGACTACCTTGGTGCTGAGGAGGTCGGAGCTGCTTCCGCTCCTAGTGTTAAGCGTCGCAGCGGCAGGGGCGGCAGGGGTGGCAGGGGCGGTGGGGGTGGCGGTGGAGGTGGCGGTGGTGCAGGCGGCGGGGGAGGTGGAGGTGGTGGGGTTGGTCGTGGGGGTGGAGGCGGTGGAGGTGGTGGTGGGGGCGGCGGAGGCACTGGGAGTGGTGGAGGGGGCAGCAGCGGCGGTGGGGGAGGAGGGAGCGGTGGTGGCAGTGGTGGTCAGGGCCAGCAGCAGCCGCAGCAGCAGCAGCAGCAGCAGCAGCAGCATCAGCGTCAGCGCCAGACCCCCACTTCCCAGCAGCTTCTTGACTGGTATGCCGGGCGTGGGGCTTCTGGGGGTCCTGGTCGCTGCCCCTATATTATCCGCACAGGTCCCCGCACTGGTCACCAGTGCACAGGTTTTCACACTGAGCAGCGCTGCTTCGCTCGACTTAGCGACGCCTGGCGTGCCAAGTTTCCTGATGCTCCTGAGTTCCCCAACTGGGCAGACTTGCTTAGGCGTGATGTCCCTATCTTTGATCTTGACTATGAGGCAGTTCTTGCTGCTATGTATGCATTGTCTGTTAGTGCTGAGGGTGACTGCTACTTGTGTGTGCCGCCGGCTCCTGGTATAACCCCTGGTATAGCCCCTGCAGCACTAGGTGCTTGTGAGTCTGCTCCCCCTGGTCCTGCGCCTGCACAGGCCTTGCACACCTTTACACTTGACTCTGGTGCTTCGCGCTGTTTCTTTCGCGACAGTACCACAGTCACTCCCCTCCCTGCACCTGTTCCAGTCTCACTGGCTGACCCCTCTGGGGGCCCAGTGCTTGCACGGTCTTCCACTGTGCTTCCGTGTCCGGCGGTCCCGTCTGGTGAGCTGTCTGGTCTCCACCTCCCCTCGTTCTCTACGAACTTGGTGAGTAACGCTGTCCTCCAGGATGCGGGGGTTGACACCTTCACCCCTGGCCGGCAGCGTGTGGCGATTTGCACGTGCTCCCAGACTGGTCGCCACCTGGCCACGTTCGCTCGTGCGCCAGGGTCCAGTCTGTACACCCTCACCACTGCGTCACACTCCGCCCCTTTGTCTCCCCAATTGCACGCGTCTGCTCAGGTAGCTACACAGTGTGAGTGTCGCCGGCTGTCGTACGACACTCTCCTGTGGCACCACCACCTTGGTCACCCCTCCCTGCCTCGCCTACGCAGCATGCACTCCCGCTTCCTGGTTTCTGGTCTTCCCAGGTCTCTGCCTCCCCTCCCTCCCTTGCCTGCGCCGCCCTGCATTCCTTGCGTCGAGGGGCGGCAGCGCGCCGCTCCTCACTCCTCCTCGTTCCCTCCCACAGAGGCTCCACTGCAGACTCTCCACCTGGACGTGTGGGGCCCAGCCCGCGTCCGTGGACAGGGCCACGAGCGGTACTTCCTGCTGGTTGTCGACGACTACACGCGCTACACCACAGTCTTCCCCTTGCAGCGCAAGGGGGATGTCCCTGAAGTTTTGATCCCCTGGATCCGCGCTACTCGTCTCCAGCTCCGCGAGCGGTTCCAGTCGGACTTTCCTGTCCTGCGTCTGCACTCTGACAGAGGTGGTGAGTTCTCCTCAGACCTCTTGGCAGCCTTCTGTGTGGAGCACGGCATCCGCCAGACTTTCACGCTTCCGGCCTCTCCGCAGCAAAATGGGGTTGCTGAGCGCCGCATTGGCTTAGTCATGGAGGTCGCTCGTACCTCCATGATCCATGCGGCTGCCCCCCATTTTCTGTGGCCGTTTGCGGTCCGGTACGCCGCGCATCAGCTCAACCTTTGGCCCCGTGTCTCCTTGCCGGAGACCTCGCCCACACTGCTGTGGACGGGGAAGGTTGGTGACGCGTCGCGTTTTTGGGTCTGGGGTGCTCGTGCCTTTGTCCGCGATACCACCGCGGACAAGCTCTCCCCTCGCGCCATTCCTTGCGTCTTCCTTGGCTTTGTCCCTGACGCGCCTGGCTGGCAGTTTTACGACCCCGCCTCGCGCCGTGTCTTTGCGTCTCAGGACGTCACCTTTGACGAGTCGGTCCCCTTTTACCGCCTCTTCCCCTACTGCACTGCTCCTCGCCCCCCCCCCGCCGCTCTTTCTCGCCCCAGGTCCTCCCCAGGTAGACCCCCTCCCCGCGCCAGGTCCTGCTCCTTTAGGTGTCTCTCAGGTAGACCCCCCTGCGCCTGCGCCTGTTGAGGTCACTGGTGACTCCGGTCCTGCTGGGAGTGGTGCTGTCCCTGGGGGTGCGGAGCTTTGGGGTGCTGAGTCTGGGGGCGCTGAGCGTGTGGAGCTTGGAGGTGCTGAGCCTGCGCGTGAGGAGCCTGGAGGTGCTGCGTCTCGGGGTACTGCGTCTGGAGGTGCTGCGTCTTGGGGTGCTGAGCCTGTGTGTGCGGAGCCTAGGGGTGCTGAGTCTGGGGGTGAGTTGCCTGGGGGTTCTGAGACAGCTGTTACGCGGTCTCCTTGGAGTAGCCGTCTTCGTCCGCGTGTGCCCCTCACCTCCCAGCAGCTGCACGACTGGTACGGTCGCCGTCAGCCTCCCACTTCTGCACCTCAGGGCTCTCCTGCTGGAGGTTCTTCTGCTGGTGTCGCTGGTCCCGGAGGTGCTCGTACTGGGGGTACTGGAGCTGCTGGGGCTGGTGGTGGTGCTGCTGGAGGTACTGGAGCCACTGGCGGTACTGGAGCTGCTGAGGTTACTGGAGCTGCTGGAGGTGCTGGAGCTGCTGGAGGTGTTGGAGCTGCTGGAGGTGCTGGAGCTGCTGGAGGTGCTGGAGCTGCTGGAGGGGCTGGTGCTATTCGTGCTGGTGGCACTGCTCAGCCGCGCCTGTTCTTCGCTCCGCC